AGAGGGAGTCACAAGGCGGGATGGATATCCAGGGTCACGGCGGCAAGCGCTGGCGCACACCCATCGAACTTGACGATGGCGGACCTTCGATGGTCAGGAACGGGCCACCGACCAGGTAAGGGTGAAGGGCTTGTGCACTCCAATTGAATTCGCCTCCGACGGAAGACTAGCGCCTTCGCAACAGCCTGTCGAAGAGCGCTGAAAATAACCACCGGGCCGCGGCGGCGGGTGACTGTGTAACCTCTGATTGTATATTCAGCGGTCTCAGCATGAGTCCTTGCTAAGCTGCCACCTGCGAGGGGGTCAGCTTGGAGTGCCAGAGAGCAGCTCCATCCTCCTGATGGTTCACCGCCTTCAGGACTTCACGACCGCCAGCGCGTGCCTGATATCTATCATCCGCGAGCACCCTAGCGCCTGGCCTCGCTGCAAGAAGGACAGCCGGGAGTCGATCATGCGAGGTCAGGATATTGCGCACTGCGTGACCAGGCGTCGGCTCCAAATTTGCCACTCGGAACGTATGCCACCAGGATGACCCCTCACTGCTCCCGTCTGGTGCGGGATTTGGGCACATAGACGTGGGGACTCCAGGACGCCACGAAGCAACCTCTCCCACATTCTTCGGGGCGCGTGTAACATTTCACACGACGTCGACGGAGCCCGATTCGAAGGAGTCATTACTGACACCACGAATATGTTCAATCCAGGGTTTATATACTTCGGCACTGGCCTTACAAGGCAGCATGGGCCGGTAGGTGCAGTTGGTGGAAGTAGACCCCAGATCTGTTCATTACCTGTCTTCTCCGGTGGCTCAGCAAAGCCAGTGATGGCTGGAACGAAAGTACTTTTCGATGCGTCCCTTTCGGTAATGTCATGGACGAAGGTCATAACGCGGCCGTTCAACATCTGCATCTCAGCCATGTGCGGGTGGGAACTCCCCGCCTCCGGCCCCGGAGCCGCAGAACTATTTCCGCCCTTGCCTGACAGGCTGGAGCGAATAGTTCCCCTACATTCAGAAAAAACCAATTTTGAGGATGAACACCGCCGCTCTCAGTCCTGGGGCGGGTTCACGCCCTGAACTCACCAGCCACCAGGGCCTGGTAAAAGTCTGCCCTCCGGAGAGCATATAGGGCAGGAATATCTCGTCCATGGTGACCATGCCCGTCTCAAGTAGCGCCATCTGGGCCTCCACCAGTCCTTGAGGATCCGCCACTGATGTCCGTATGCCTCTGGCGGCGGGACTCCTGCGCGACGTCACCAGCACCCTCTGCTCGGTGAGCTTGACGAACACCGCATCGGTATTACAGGGCAGCGCAAAAGCAACCCGGCCTAGGCGGGGGCTCAAAACACTCCACTTCAAGCCGGCTGGCTGCTGATTGTCGTCGTAGACGATGGAGATCTCATCGGCCCCCTTGGCCACCAGCAGGCCCATGACCTCTGTCACCGTCTTCTGGGCGTTGACCTTTGTGGTGTAGTTCAATAGTGGCATTACCTCATTTCCTTCCTATCAGACTGCGGGCCCAAGCGCCCCTTCGGCCACCTGCTGGATTTCCACCGGCTCACCACCAGGACCCTGGCTAGGTCCTCCCGGACATACTCCTTCTTCTGCCGGTCGGTAAGAACAGTGGGCTACCCAGGGAACCGCCCCTCGTCACGTGCCTTATGCTGACCGGCGATGGACCGCTCCCTGATGGAGTTCCGCCACCACTCGGAGAACGCAAGGACCATGGCCAATTGCAACTTCCCGTTGGCCGTTGTAGTGTCAAAATCCTCAGCCAGGGACCCCGTACCGGAACTCCACACATCCCTGATCTCGCATGCCCGTTCACAATATACTACATCAGGCAGACCGGCACTGGGTAACTCCAGCCGAGTCTCGCCCCGGATTACAGGCTACAGCAGCTGCGCCACATAAGCCTCTTCCCACAGACTACTTCCTGGCGCCATCGCCCATGCGGAACTTCTTGTCCCGCAAACGTAGTGCATCTTTGGCCGGGCGCGACGGTGCGGGACGCGCCGTTCTTCAGGACCACTTCTTGGGCCTCCAGGATGTCGGTCTTGCTGCGGCACTTGACAGCAGTAGATCTGGTCACTAGCAGCGCTGGTCACGTGTTGCTCCTCTTGGATTGATTCCTTTTCACTGTTCCACCGCCCCACCGGAGGAGGGGTCGGAGTGTCCTCAAAAGGGTTTTTAACTGTTGGCCAGAATCTGATGATACTTGATAATATCTGCAACCTTCACGTCTGAAGCGGGGCGTACTGACAGCAGCTTCTTGCGGGAGGCGCGGGCCATTGGTTACGCTTCCTCCATGCTTAAGTCCCACCGGATAGCGTTAAGTCCCTCAGGGGAGCAGGAGATCCTGCTCGGGCAGCATGCGGGCTACGCCCGGTTCGCCTACAACTGGGCTGTGGGCGAGTTCAAGGCTGGGCTTGAGGTGGGGGAGTGGCTGTCCGAAAGGACACTCAGGCCACGATGGAACCGGGTCAAGGGCATGATCGCGCCATGGGGAACGGAACTGTCGCAGAACGCGACCAAGTACTCCATCATCGACTTTGGCCAGGCCGCCAATGCCTGGGGTGAGTATCGTCAGCGCGTCAAGGCTGGTCAGCGTCCGGCCCGTAGGGTAGGTTTCCCCAGGTATAAGCGTAGGAAGCACGAGCAGGGTTTTCGTGCCGATAACGGGCCCGACACGGTGAAAGTGAACGGCAAGGAGGTTCTGTTGCCCAGGATCGGCCGGGTGGCGATGGTGGAGCAGCTGCGCTTTGGCGGCTCGATTCGTGAGGCGACGATCAACCGGACGGCTGGGGTCTGGTTCGCCTGCTTCTGCGTGGAGGACGGGCAGAAACCACTGGCGGTGAAGGAGGGCCCAACCATCGGCGTTGACGTTGGCGTGGGGACCATGGCGACGTGCTCTGATGGAACTACTTCGGATGGAACCACCGTCGATAACCCCAAGGCTCTGGCCAGCGGATTGAAGAAACTGCGGCGTCTGGACAAGGCCATCGCACGCAGCCGGAATGTCCACGGCAAGAGCGTTCATTCCAACCGGCGCGAGCGGCTGTATGCCAAGCGGAGGCGAGTTCACGCTCGTGTGGTCAACGTGCGGAACGACAATCATCACAAGGCAACGACGGCGATAGCCAAGTTGGCGGGCCGCGTGGTGGTGGAGACGCTGAACGTGGCCGGCATGGTGAAGAACCGCAGTCTGGCTCGAGCAATCTCCGATGCTGGGATGTCGGGCTTCCTGGCCAAGCTGGAGTACAAGTGCCTCTGGTACGGCGCCGAGTACGTGAAAGCGGACCGGTGGTTCGCGTCGTCGAAACTGTGCGCCCACTGCGGTTGGAGGAATGAAGACCTCACGCTTTCTGAGCGGGAGTGGTGGTGTGGCGGTTGCGGAGTTCTGAACAACCGCGATTGCAACGCTGCTCTGAATCTCAGCAACTGGCCGGGTTGGAGCTTTCCGGCGACAGGATGTGGAGACCGTGTAAGACCGGCTACGCCGGCAGTGGTCGATGAAGCGTCAAGCGAATCTGGCCCTGGAGTCTGGGCTCCGGCAAAGCTGGAGTATCAGATTTCATCAGATTCTGAATAGCGGTTCGCACAGTCCGCCACAGCCAGCGCCGCGCGGAACCAGCGAAAGGACTTCCCCGGTGGCGGGAGCGGTAAGTTCACGTAACGGGCCCTGTACGAACCTATTTCCAGGCCTGTTGACCCAGGACCTGGTTAACGATGCCCCTGGCCACCGTGCAGAGCCGGCACCCGCAACCCCGGACATGGTTGCTAGGCCGCCAGTCTTCCAATTCCTGGAAGCTCTTGGCCCTTCCATCGGCATAGCCCTGGGCATAGGCAGTGGCGACCGCCGCCGCGTCCCGGGGTCGGCCCAGCAGGGATTCGCAATCAAAACAAATCGGCCAGGTCCGGTTCAGTGGTATAGGAGTCCGCGGCCAGCTCGCCCACGGGATGCCCACAGCTGGTAACAACCCCGTCAGTGGTTAAATGTACCATGCTCTGCCTCCTAGTCAATTGGGGAGCCCTTGACCCGCATCCAAGCATTCAGTTATTCAATGCCCCTGCCGCGAATCGGGCAATATCGAGGGCCACCTTTGCCTCCCTGTAGGTGAGCAGTATCGTCTGCAGCGTCACCGCGTCCAGGTCCGGCTGACAGGAGCCTCCGTGGTTTCCCGCGAGATCTTGGAAATACCGGTATGCTCTCAGGTCCATAACGCCAACTGCCTGCCAGCAATGATGGCTTCCTCGGCCTGTTTCTCAGGCTTGAAGTTACTGTGCCTTTCTGCCACACCTTTTCAAACACTGCAAACGGCTAAAACAAGACTGACCGACAGCGGGTACCAAGCCTCCCTGCCAAGGTGGACCTTACCCCTTAACGGAGCTGCCCAACGTACAGGATAATCACCATTCTAATGTCCTCTTCCCTGTCCCGTAAACGCCCGACCAAGCAGCCGGCCCAGGTGTTCGCAAAGACGCTGTATCCTGCCGAAGCCATGGCGTCCGATGTGGCCGGCGTCCGTCTCCGAGTACCACGTCAGGATGGTTTCCCCGAATAGGTGCTCAATCTGTTAAGGGCAAGCCCGAGTCCAATACGGAGCAAGTACCTCTTAAGGGAACCGGTCAGCCTCCTGGTGCCAACCTGTAGAATTTATGATCATCGGGCCTTGACACTGATGCGGAATGAAACTAGTCTGCTATCTAGTCAGAAACCAATTGGTTGGGTGCAAAATGAGCAGGAAATGGGCGGTTCAAGACGCCAAGTCAAGGTTCAGCGAATTGCTTGATACCACTATCGCCGAAGGGCCGCAGATTGTGACCAAGCGCGGGAGTGGAGACCGCCGTGCTCGTTCCCATCGAGCAGTGGCGGCAGTTGGAACGGATGACCAGGCCTGACCTCAAGGAGTTGCTCCTGACCTCGGAGGCGCGGACCGAGGACCTGTGCCGCCCCGCGGACAGCATCGCCGCCGACCACCTCTTGTAGTGGAGTAGGACTATGTTCCTCCTCGATACCAACGTGGTCTCGGAACTGCGTCGCCCCCGTCCGCATGGCGCTGTTCTTGATTGGATCGCAGACGTTCCGGGGGAGCAACTCTTCGTGTCTGCCGTTACGGTTGGCGAGATACAGGCGGGAATCGAGATCACCCGCGAGCAGGACGTGGCCAAGGCGGAGGAACTGGAAGCCTGGCTGGACAGGGTCATGGCTTCCTACAGCGTATTGCCGATGGATGCGCCCACCTTCCGGCAGTGGGCACGGCTGATGCACCGTAGGTCAAACACCATCACCGAGGACGCCATGATCGCCGCGACGGCCATTGTTCACAGACTGACGGTGGTGACCCGGAACGTGCGAGACTTCGCCCAGCTTGGTGTCGAATTGCAAAACCCCTTCGAAAAGCGCGTAGCCGTCGCGGCCCTCGGCAGGTGGAGCTCCATTCGCCCTGGGCATCGAGACCCTGAACGTGGCGGGCATGATCAGGGCCGGTCTGCAGTCCCGCGCCCTGGCCGATGCTTCCCTGGCCGGTTTCATTGCCAAGCTGGAGTACCGGTGCGGCTGGCTTGGACTCGCTTTCGAGAAGGTTGACCGGTGGTTTCCCAGTACCAGGACCTGCTCCAAGTGTGGAGCGGTGCGGCCCAACATGGACCTGTCGGAGCGGACGTTCGTCTGTCATTCCTGTGGAGTGATGATTGATCGTGACCTGAACGCCGCGCTGAACCTTGGAAACGCCGAGAGCTACCCGGCGTCGGGACGTGGAGCGGGAGATAAGTCCTGGCATCTCTGGATGCCAGGCGGGCCGCTGTGAAGCGTCAAGAGACGGCTGTCAGAGATAATCAGAGATTATCGCTGATTGGCATAGGTTCTCAGTAGCGGCATCCACCAATATTTAACATCGGAGGTCCCGACAATGTCTGACATGGAAAGCCTGGGTGACATACTCAGGAGGTTGATGAACCAGCAGCGGCGGGAGCCGGTAGAAGGCGGTCCGCTTCCAGAGGAACCCAAGGCCCCGGCCTGCACCATCTGCGGAGACGCCGGCTGGGTGACCCGCAACGTATCGGTGGGGCATCCTGACTTCGGCGAGGCCTTCCCCTGCCGCTGTCAGGTCGACAAACTCCGGAAGGACGTCAATGTCCTGCGTCGCTACAGCAACCTGCTCGGCCTGGAGAGGATCTCCCTGGCCAACACCCAGCCGCAGGGCCTGCGGGGCGGATCCGCGGATCCGGGACGGTTCGCAGAGGCATTTGAGGCCGCGGTCCGTTTTGCCGACAACCCCTCCGGCTGGCTGGTGTTCACGGGGCCCAGCGGCAGCGGCAAGACCCACCTGGCTGTGGGCGTAGCCAACCTCTGCATTGAGAACGGCCAGACGGTCTATTACATCATGGCTGCAGACCTGCTGGACCACCTCAGGTCCACTCACGCGCCGGACAGCGACGTGGCATACGACACTCTCTTTGAGCAGGTCCGCAACGTGCCGTTGCTGATTTTGGACGACCTGACGGCCCGGACCACGACGCCCTGGGCCGAGGAGAAGATGTTCCAGATCATCAACCACCGGTTCAACGCGGCTTTGCCCACGGTGATTACCGTACAGGGCCCCATGGACCATCTGAGCGACACTCTGGTAACGCGTCTGCAGGGCCTCAACGGGGTATCTCGGGTCTTATCCCTGGCGGATCACGGCTCCCGCCTGGCGCGGGAACTGGGCGCTCAGCCCCTGGCGAACCTGGGAGCCATGACACTGCAGTCCTTTGACGTCAACGCCGGGCAGACACCGCTGCAGCGCGAAGCTCTAGTCAAGGCACATCAGTCGGCCCGCCAGTTTGCCTCCGGCGACGGTCCGGCACACTGGCTGCTCCTCAGCGGGCCCAGGGGGTGCGGGAAGACCCATCTGGCCGCCGGTATCGAGATGGAATGGGTGAGGCAGGGACGTGAGTCCTTCCACGCCTTCGTGCCGTCCCTGATGGACCACCTGCGGAAGACCTACGCGCCAAACAGCACCATCACCTACGACGAGTTGTTCGACCACGTCAAGAGTGTGCCCCTGCTGGTCCTGGATGATCTGGGCACGGAGAGCCAGACGGCCTGGACCGATGAAAAGCTTTACCAGCTCATCGTCCACCGTTATGACCACCGGCTCCCCACGGTGATCACCACGGTCTTTACGCTGCAGGACCTGGAGGAGATGAATCCCCGTGTGGCGTCCCGCCTGGTCGACGGGAACCTGGTCAATTATCAGATTCTCCTTGGGCCGAACTATCGGACTTTCCCCAGGTCCGGCGGGGGTCGTAGCGCGACTTCATAGGGAGGTGTTCCTCAGGACCACCGGGAAGGTAAGTCATCCTCTGGCCGCTATCAGAAACCTATGAAAATCTGGACTAACCGTGGTTAATCTGACGTGCAAGGGATTCCGTTCCTGCTTCTACCGCCGGAGCCTTCACAGAGAAGGTCTTACCACTGGCGTCCACAGGCAGGGACCGAGTAGCTCCCGGCCAGTCTCTGATGTTCAGGGCCGCATTGTCGTCCCGGTCCTGGAGAGTCCCACACGCGGAGCAGCGCCACCGCCGGACCTCCGGCCCCAACTTGCCCTTTCGCTCTCCACAGTCGTGGCACAGCTGGCTGGAGGGGAAGTCCCGGGCCACCTTCACGAAGGTCCCGCCCCGCCATTGGGCCTTGTATTCCAGCTGCCGCAGCAGTTCCCCCGGGGCCAGGGCTGACGTCTTTCGCCCCCACATCCTTTGCCAGCCTTTCAGCGAGAGGGTTTCCACTTGGACCACCTGGGCGGCGGCCGTTATCCGGTGCGACAGCTGGTGCAGGAAGTCCCTGCGGATACTTGCCATCCTGCGGTGCCGCCGGCCCACGTCCCCCCTGGCCTTGGCCCGGTTCCGGCTGCCCGCCTTCCGGCGGGCCAGTTTCCTCTGCGACCGCCGGAGAGACCGGAGGCTGCGCTTGAGCGGTTCCGGGGCCTGCACCCAGGCCTCTGACAACGGGTCAACTGCGTTATAAAATAGGGCCAGCCAATTTTAGTGCCGCGGGAGAGCAGAAATGACAACGCAGGAAAAGAGTGAAACCCAGCCCCTGAGCTGGGAAGACTGCCCCGGAGTGGCGCGCAACCCCCGCCGGGTGGGCGGCGCCTGGACCTTCGGAAACACCCGGCTCCCCCTCTACATCGTCTTCCAGAACCTGGCTTCCGGCGCCACCATAGAGGAGGTCGCCCAGTGGTTCGAGGGCATCACCGAGCAGCAGGTCAAGGAGGTGCTGGCCCACCTGGCCCGTATGCTGGAACAGGACCGGGTCAAGGAGGAACCGCCCGAATGAAGATTCTCCTGGACCACAATACGCCTCACCAGCTTCGTGGACTCCTCTCCGACCATGAGGTCCACCCCGCTGCATACCTGGGCTGGAGCGAGTTTGAGAACGGCGAACTGCTGGAAGCAGCCGCGAGTCACGGCTACGACTCATCACCTGCGACCAGGGCATCAGCAACACCATTATGAGCGGCGACTGGACCGTCATCCGCGAGAATATCGGCCTCATCCGACCGGCCCTTGAAACCGCAGTACGGGGAGAACCCAACCGGGTACGAATGATGCCAGGGGCCTGAGCCACCGCCTCACCAAAGAAAGCCCTGGAGGCAGGGACCGAGGCCTACGCCCCGGGCATCTGGCCGGCGCTGCGCGCAGGAACGCAAGACTCCCTCTGGACACGCCAGAAAAGAACGAGAGAGTTTCGCAATTTTCTATCAGTTGGCAGAGCAGCCGGCTTTTAACCGGCAGGTCGCTGGTTCGACCCCAGCCGGGCCCACCACTCCCCCAAGCACCTAATTATGAAAAGGGGTCAGGCGATGGATGTAGGAACAACTACCAGGCAATCATGTCCCCAACTGCGGCCAAGAGGTCAGGTCCTTAGATCGCGGCGTTTTGGTCTGCGATAACTGCGGTTGGCACCGGCGACCGGTGACACCGACGCCGGTTACTGTCCCACCCTGGTGGTTTCCGGCCTAACGGACTTTCCGAAATACCTGTGAGAGGACAAATGACTCAGCACGATTCCCTGCCCGACCTACCCCTAAAGCGAAGCACCGTCACAGGAGCAAAGGCAATACAGCAGGTATTCGACAATATGCTTATAGCTAAAGACCAACGGTCGTACCCGCTGAAGTTGCCTGGAGCAGTTGAAATACCATTTGAGTCTGGCAATAAGCAGATACCGGCCGGGCCTATCTTATTCAATTGTGTTCACTGCAAAGAAATTCACGAAGCGTCGGCTTGGGGGCTATGCCTTAAGTGCGGTGGGTACGCTTGTCGGGATTTTGTAAACACGCCCTAACCTGGGCCCTCCGGACAGGAGCTAACCTTGACGTTCCCTGAGTTTCCGCATGACCGTATCCCCCGACACGTTCGGGACCATGCGCCGGCCGATAGTCCGGTAGCTCAGGCCCGCGCGTTTCAGCCTGGCCATCTCTTCGACCTGGTCTTCATTGACCTTACGAGGGGGGCCGAGGGTCTTTCCTTCGGCTACGGCTTTTTCAAGGCCCGCCTTGGTCCTCCGGCTGGCCGCCTGCCGTTCCTGGTCGGCGGTCCACGCCATGAGGCTGGTCAGTATATCTGCGATAAAGGCTTCGGGAGAATCCGGATCAGACTCAAGCCAAGATACCCAGGTGGTTTCGTCTGGTGCAAGGGACCGTATTCTTACCCCCCTGGTGCGCAGGTCCCGAATCGTGTTAACGGTGTTCAGCCAGCTCCGGCCAATGCGGTCAGCGGCGACCACAACCAGGGTGTCACCTGTCTGCAGGCGGGCGTCCAGCGCCCTCCAGCCGGCGCGGCTGTTGGTGCCGGTCCCTCCGGAGACCCCGACGTCTCGGTAAACGTTGGCTTCGGGGACGTCGTCCTGGCGGAGCTGGTAAGCCTGGGCCTCGGGGTCACTCCCCGGGGTCCCTTCGATGCGCTGGCGGCTGGTCCTGATGTATCCATAGACTGTCATGCCGGGACTATACCTTTATCTGACAGGCGGCCGCAATGAGGAACTGTCAGTAATCTGACTGTCAGACAATGGGGCGTTTACGGGACAGAGAGGAGACGCCTATTATTGGCGTTACAGGACACATTGACCCGGAGCAATCATGGCCCTGCAGCACCCGCCCGCGCCGGTCTCTCAACCACCGGCCCACGGCCTCCTGCCCATGGTGGCCAACATGGCCACCGGACGCCATCTCGGCTGTAAAAACTACACCGGAGACCAACCGCATACCTGGCTCAAAAACCACTGACAAAAGCCGCTTGCCACCTCGGATAACCCATCTCTACAGTGAATATCAAGGCCTCCAGGGCGAGTCCCTGGAGGCTCCTGATTTGTGCTGCATGGAGAGTGAAACCAATGGCTACACTGCGAGACGGCGGTCCCTACATCTGCCCCACGTGGCTGCCCATCCTTGACCCCAGGTTCCAGAACGCAAAGCTCTCCGGAGAGGTGTATTACGGAGAAGAGGCCGGTATTACCATTCCGGCCTCCAAAGCAGACCAGAGGTTCAAGGAAGTAACGGCAAGCCTCATCGGCAGGATAACGTCCAAGACGGCAGCCAGTAAGGCGCCCAGCGTCAGCGAGTGCCGCTTCTGCCCCATCAGCAGCCAGTATTGCCCGGAAAGGAGGACAGAATAGAAACGTCAGAAATGCAGCCCTTCTACCTCTACGGCCGGTTGATCGCCGTCCTGGAACAGGGTGCCCGCGGCCACGACGATATTCAGTGGATTGAGCTCTACTACCCAAGAGGGTTCCTGCCCTGGGTGGGCCTGACCGCACCCCTGCAGAAGCACCGGCAGTCGGTACTGCCCTTCCTAAACCAATACCACGGTGGGATGTGCATTTCGGGGTCTTGAAGATAACCGAAAGGACTCCATAGCCCCTAATATCACCTTTGGGTCCCAACTGGGTCAACACCGACAATGCGGTATGGCGGTATGTACATTTCACCTTGGCTTTAGTTTAGGGCAGTCAATTCACCAGCCTGGAATTCACCCAGGTACTGCAGGAACACGGGGTGAAGAGCAGCATGGACGGGAAAGGCCGCTACCGCGACAACATCTTCGTGGAACGGTTGTGGAGCACCGTGAAGTACGAGGAGGTTGTACCTGAAAGCCTATGCCAACGCCACAGAGGCCCGCAGGGAACTGGGCGCCTGCTTCAGGTTTACAACAGCCAGAGGCCTCATCAGGCCCTGGGCTACCGGACCCCGGCCGAGGTGTTCCACCAGGCCAGGAATGCTACGGGGAATAGATCAAAGGTGACGGAAGGTCCACCGGAACGGAGGTTGGTATCACTAGCATGAGCAGCGGGACTCTCGCTTAACTCCACCCCGGTCCTGTCCAACTAATGGGATCCACCTCAGAATTCATATCCGGAGCATCCAGAGTCGGGGCAGCGCATGCCCTGCAACTACGTTGGGGAAGACAGCGTTGCAGCCAGTGGCGTTGGACGCGGGCAAGCCGTTGCCATCCAGGTCCCAGCAAATGCCACTAAGCTGCATCAGACCCGACACTTCAATGAGTCCATCGCCGCCCGTGTCGTGGCTGGCGTTCCCCGCGTTCGTTGCATTGGCTGGAGTGTCGCTGTGGTGGTCTCCGTCCAACGGTTCCGCTGCTTACCTCCTGGTTACTGAGGATGCCAGGTCACGTAAAATTCGGCGGCCCCCTGCGTATTTCCGTCCCCTATCACAAAGTAGTAATCCACTCCCGATGAAGCCTGCCACATCAAATCAATAACGGGAGGGTCAAGCCCAGTGAACTCGTAACCCATGAGCCCGGCATGCTCCTGGCCGTTGGCACTGTAAACACCCAATATTGGCTGCTCCGAGTAATGATCACGGAATTGGTAATGCTCCCAATGGAGCTTAACGCATATACACTTCTGGCTTCGGCCGCGAACACAATCACGTCCCGGTCTTCAAAGTCCTCCAGCTCAACCCGAACACCCTCACCCTCACCCAGCCTCGTGGCGCCAGCGAAATCGTTGCCGTGGTCGTCGCTCTGAAATTGCTCGACCACTGACGGAGAATGCCTGGTCACGGAAAATTCGGCAACCCCCTCCGTATTTCCGTCCCCTATCACTATGTAGTAGTCCTCTCCCCACGCAGCCTCCCACATTAAATCGATAATCGGAGGGTCAAGCCCAGTGAACTCGTAACCCATGAGCCGGCTATGCTCCTGGCCGTTACCACTGTAAACAGCCAAAATTGGCCGCTCCGTGTAATCCACCTCACGGTAATGGTACTGCTCCCAGTGGAGCGTTAACACATATTCCCTTCCCGCTCCGGCCCGGAAGACAATCACGTCCTCATCATCAATGTCCTCCAGCTCAAGCCCAACAGCTTCACCCACGCCGATCCGCGTGGCGCCAGCGAAGCTGTTGCCGTGATCGTCCCTCTCAAATTCATCGAAAACTGGCAGATCCCCGGGGTCAACACAGCCAGCCTCAATCAACTGTTCAAGGACCTCCTGGGGCAGCCCGGCGGCAACCTCGCCTAATTTTTCCACCAACTCCGTTGATGCAGCCGCAATAAGCAGCATGCCGGCAAAATCCACCACCTCGTCCTTGGGATAATGGTTCAATATCTCCTCGACCGTCCGAAACACCTCGACCCTCTCCCAGTGCCACTCGGCCAGCTCAACCGGCGGGATAATCGCCTCCAACCCGTCCGCCTCCGCCCCAACATCAGAAGCGAAGTCACCAAAGGTATAGTCATCCCCCAAATCATCCGTTGTCGGCGGGCAAAGCATCAGATAAGCATCGAGGGACAAGGGCGTTGCTGGCCCGGTCCCAGTATCCGGGCCAGCGACCGGAACATCAGCAACGGTCACTTCAGAGAAGGTAACCGTCCCAATGCCATGTGTCAGTCTGTCCCCTATTACGATGTAATAGTCCCCTCTGCTGAGAGCTTGCCACATTAACTTGCCATCAGAACCATAGAGGTCGTGGTCAACACGGCCAAGTTCCTGGCCGGTACCGTCAAAAAGAGCCAGAATTGGACGCGCCGAGGCACGCAAATAGCCAACCTCCTCAAAGTCCAGCGTAAACTCATATTCCGTGCCAGCTTTGGCGGAAAACACCAGGACATCTTTATCAAGCCGAAACCCGAGTTCGAACCGAACCTCCTCCCCTATAGCTACTCGGCTTGCACTTCCGAAGTCGTTGCCGTGGTCGTCGGGCTCATCGTACTCGTCTGGCACAAGATACGACTCAATACATTCGACCTCTAGCATCTCTTCACGGACCTCGTCAGGCATCCGGAGGGCAACCTCGCTTAACTGTTCTTCCAAACCGGTATACCTTTCTTCAAAATCACGTCCTTCGGTCTGGAGGAATTCCTGCACGACCCCAAAGTCCTCGAGGTCGTCCTCCGGCAATATATCGTATACAGCCTGGAACGTGCGAAACAACTCAATATACAGCAAGTGCCATTCAACCACCTCGGCAGGCGGAACCATTGCCTCAAGTGTTTGTAGAAACTCTGCCAACCGAGCGGACACCTGCCCAAAGGAAGAATCCTCTTCAACCGGCAGCTCCTCCAGAATCGTGACGCACCACGAAAGGTATTCGTCCAAGGTCAAGGCCGATGCCGCCGGCACGGCCGCTTCCGCCTGTATCTGAGTTGACGTGACCGCCGGTGTCGGTGTCGGCGCAAGCGTGGGCATCAGCGTGGGCATCAGCGTGGGCATCAGCGTGGGTCATCAAGCGTGGGTTCAAGCGTGGTCTCAGGCGTGGCTTTTGGCGTCGCCGTCGCGACCACAATGGCCCCGGCTTCCGGCCCTGTCGTCGGGCTTGGCGCACCGGTGCAGCCGGCCAGAAGCATTGCAAGGAGAATCGCACTCGCGAATACCAAACCAAAGGCATTGGACTTTGACATCATCACTCTCCCCGGTGCAGGATTCAGTGCCACGGTCGCGTTCACATTAGCCTTCCGCATGATGCGCCGCAAGGTTCTTGTGCCTAGTGCGAGGGGGTACATTTGTGTACGTCCGATATGGTACGGTCGAACCTTGCCGCCCTGTCGCCGTCGGGCGGCGTACATTAAAGTTTCTTTACACGAGGCTTGAATTTGCAGACCACGCCGCGCGATGCGATTGCAGGGCCCCGCCGGGAGCCGGATCGGTCCGATCCGGACGACCTGAGGGTACAGCCTGAGTATTTCGGTATGGGTGCGCTGGTTTCTTCTGACAGCCTGGCTGTTACAGTTCAACTACCGACCCAATTTCGCGGATCCTGCCTATATTCCGACCACGCTGTTGGCGGTATCGGTGCTGGCCCTCAACGCATACGTTCACTACCGCATCCATTCGAATCGGACGGTCACTCGGCACTGGGCGCTCGCTCTCAGCATCATGGACGCGGCGATGATTACGACTGGCATCGCCATCTCATCCAGTGCATTTCAGAACACCTTCTTCGTGCTTTACTACCCCGCCCTCGCGATGTTCGCCGTGGTGTTCACCTCCTTCAGGCTCAGCTTCGCCTGGTCCACGATGGTTGTGACCGTGTACGCGGCGTTATGCCTGTTGATGGAGCCGGGCGTCGACTACGAAATCAAGAGGAGAAGGTACTGTTCACCAGGATCGTCGTCATGTACGCGGTCGTAGCGGCGGTCAACCTGGTTTCCAGGTTCGAGCGGATCAGAAGGAGAGAGGCAGTGGAGAGGGAAGCGCAGCTTCAGAGGGAGCGGATCGAACTTTCGCAGTCCATTCATGACACCATCGCCCAGTCCACCTACATGATGGGCCTGGGCATCGAGATCCTGATCGAGCTGGCGAGCGCCCTGAACGACGGTGGCCGCGACGAAATGATCGCCAAGTTGGAGGCGATCCATGCCCTGTCGAAGTCGACCATGTGGGAGTTGCGACATCCAATCGACGCGGGACCCATCTTCGAGGGCATGGAGTTCGGCCTGGTGCTGAGTTCCCACGCTTCCACGTTCACCACGATCACGTCGATCCCCACCGAGGTGGAGCAGTCCGGCATTGAGCCGCCGCTTTCTACTGTCACGCGGGGAGCTGCTCTTCTCGATAGCCCACAACGCCATGACCAACGCATTCAGGCACTCTCGCGCCGACAGGGTCACCATTGCGCTCGGGCTTCGACGAAGATATGCTCCGAATGTCTGTATCCGACGACGGGCTCGGCCTCCCCGACGACTACGCTGATCGCGGCCACGGATTCCGGAACATGAGGAGGGACGCCGAGCGAATGGGCGGCAGCCTCGAGGTGGGCCCGGGCGGGTCGGAACGCGGCACAAACGTAACCTGCGTGGTTCCATATGACGCAAATCGAGGAGGTCCGTAGCTTGACGCCGGACAGACAGATTCCCGACAGACTAATCAGGGTTATGCTCGTCGATGACCACGAGATCATGCGCGACGGCCTGCGGGAGGTGCTCCAGCGTGCCGGGGATTACGAGGTCGTGGGCCAGGCTGGAGACGGTGCGGAGGCGGTGAGGGTTGCTCAGAGTCTCAGGCCAGATGTGATCATCATGGATGTCATGATGCCTCTCAAGAACGGCATCGACGCCTGCCGGGAGATCACGGAGGCGCTCCCGGACACCAGGGTGCTGATGTTGACGGCCGCAACGGAGCGGGACGCCGTAATTGAGGCTGTAGCTGCGGGTGCAACCGGCTACCTCGAGAAGTACTCCGGCAAGGAGAAGCTGCTGCGTACCGTCCGCGACGTGGCGGAGGGAGAGCACCGTATACCCGGCGACGTGATCAGGCGCGTTTTCGCCGGATTCCGCGCTGGGGCGCAGCAACAGTCCCACGAGTTGAACCGGCTGACCGCGCGGGAGCGGGAGATACTCACGCTATTTGCGCGGGGCCTGTCCTACGCTGCGATCGCTGAGGTCAGGGGCAACCAGCCGGTGACTATCCGCAACGGCGTCTACGGCATCCAGGACAAGCTCAAGATCGAGACCAAGCAGGAACTGGTGGTTTGGGCTGTGCGAAACGGTCTCCTGGACGAGCCCGGGCCCGGAGGATAGGCACATAACACCGCTCAGGGGTCTGTTTCAGTCATGCCACTCGGGTCAAGGGAGACCTGGATTCTCTGGATTTCGGTGTTGGTCAAGTTTCTTGCCGGGCCGGGCAGGAGGTCCTGCTCGGCGGGCTGGTGCCGGGGTATGAGGGAGTTCTGCAGGGTCATAACCGCTCCCGGGTAACATGGTCTATATTGCTATTATCACGCATTGAGGAAATGTCGAAACCGAGGAAAGCAAAACGCGGCGAGGTGGACTAAGAGATGGAGTCACACCCTTTCACTGAAGATGGAGAGGTCGTATTCCTGGGCGCTATTGCTCGTACCATATTTGAAATTGATGCTCCGCCTCCTCGACTGACAGCTTCGGCTTTTCTCAACCGTATAAGGCAGAACGTTCTCTTTCAGAAGTCAGCTGGCCAATGTAGTAGCAATGCAGAGAACCAAGCGTTGGAGAGCTATGAAGAGCTGATGAGAGTCGTTCTCGGTATGCGCAATCACTTTGATCCGAAGCAATCATTGCAAGATCCACCATCAGAAACATGAGCCTTCAACAACTCCCTCAGGAATCCGGCGCATTGCCTCACAATAAATGCTACTCAACGGAAGTGGTTGCTTCACCTAAAATGCTACCGAAAAGTGGGGAGGCAACCTCATGGGGAGAAGCATGAGCAAGATGGCAAGGAACGAGTTGTTGACCACCATCCGAGACCGCTACCAGCACTCCACCAAAAGGGATAAGGGCCGGATCCTGGACGAATGCACCGCGGTGACCGGCCTGCACAGGAAGCACTCCATCCGGCTACTGAGGTGGACCCCATTAGTTGGACAGGACCGGGGTGGAATTAAGTGAGAGTCCAGACGCTCCTACCTATAATGCGACCGGGCAGTGTCTTAGAATCGGAAGTAGGCGCTTATTCAGCCTGGGCCCCTCTCAACACAGCGGCGGCTTGCAGGTACAGCTCTGCCTACCTCACCCTGTACCAAAAACAGGTGTTTTTGATACAATGCCCTAAACTGGGGGTTTAGGGCATGGGTCGCCCTGTAACAAAACCCCCATAATTTTGGGCAGGGTGAAAACCGATGATTTACGGTTATCTCCGCACCTCCCGGGCCGCCGTCGATGGCCTGGCCGGAATGCACCCCGAAACCCAGCTCCAGGCCCTGGCCGATGCCGGGGTGGAGCTGGCAAACATTTTTCAGGACGTGGGAATCTCCGGTTCCGTCCTGGTCAGCTACCGCCCAGGATGGACCGAGCTTGACGCTAAGCTGATCCGCGGCGATACCCTCACCGTGGCCGCCCTGGACCGGATCAGCCGCAACCGCCTGGACCTGGTGGGCGTCGTGGAGTCGCTGCACCGGCGCGGGGTGGGCATCTCTTCCCTGGCTCCGGCCGAGTCCTGGCTCCATCCGCTCAGCGCCCACCCCACCGAGGTCGAGCAGATGATCGGTGAGATAATCCTGCGGGTGATGGCCTGGGCGGCCCAGGCCGAGTTGGAGTCGATCAAACGCCGCATAGCGGTGGGCATTCGGCGGGGCGGCGGAGGAAGGCCGGTTCCCGGGGCGTCCCAGGGCTTTGACCCCCGAGCAGACCTGCCGCCGTCCGGTTGTTGCGCCGCAGCGGGCAATCCCAGTCCGCAGTGGCGCGGACCTTTGGCGTCTCCCGCCAAACCATCTGGCGCGCTGAACAGTCGGAGTAGCAGCCAAGGGGCCGGCACGTTGGTATCCTTTCGGTGAAAGTTTAAGATTGATGCCGACTGTCCCGCGTCAATTATTCTTGCCGGTTCCTGTTGCCTCACTGAGAAATGTTACCGAAATGTCATTCCCTGGGACCACTTACAAGCAGTGCTAATTCCGGCAATGAATGTTCGTCCCACATCAGTTTCGCTGGATACAGGATAGACCAGTTTACTGGCCATGATACCCCTCCATTGTTGCACCCTCCGTTGTAGAGTGCGCAGGTGAGCCCGGTTGAACCGGTCCGGATAAGTTGACTGCAACCGGCCCAACAATGCCACCGCGCTGGCGTCAGGGTCTTCCTGCAACCAGCCCAGCACGTCACACCACACACCTTCAAAGGGGTCTGGCCTTGTTCGCCAATGGTGCGGGGCTCTCACCTTCGCCGGTCGCAACGCCGCCTCTTCATCCTGCCGCCATCGGTCGGGCAGCTTGGCCAGGAACCGTTCCAGGCTCTTGCCTCTCGGCGTGGGCCTGACCTCCGGAGACACGATGGCCGCCAGCGCCGACTGGGTTTCTCGGATGGAGTGCAGCAGGGCTTCGGGGTCCAACCGGGCTCGGCGCTCATTCAGGTCTGGCCCTGGTCTCAGCTCCGACCGTCTCATGCTGGATTACCCGCTCGCAGGGCGTGGCCGGCGGACTGCAGCGCTTGGTCACCACTGAGCCGTTGCGTGTTTTCTCCATCAGCTTGAACGAGGGCTGGAAATAATTCACGTAAAGCCGCATCGCTCCGTGGAGGTGAGCTATGGTCTGCCCCGCCACCTGTCCCGAGTACCGCTCATGACCCAGAGAGCGCCGGATCACCGCTCCCATTCTTCTGCTCGACCCAGGCCTGGTCGTTCTTCCGGTTAGCCCGGGAACGGGTGAACTCGATGCCCCGGTCGGCGCAGTACCGCATTAGGCTGTCGTTGATGAACACGCTGTCGTTGTCGGAATCGATGCCCAGAGCGGTAAAGGGCAGCTGTTTGGCGAGGGCCTCCAATCCTGTCACCACCAGGGACTGCTCCCCAGCCAATAGAGGCACCGCCTCGGTCCATCCGGTGCAGACCCAATATAGACTACGGGGCTACCAGGCTGTAGATGAACGACCCTCCCATGTTGTCCCCGCAGTGAGCAACCAGGTCGATTTCCAGGAAGCCCTTTACAAGAAGCCCGGGGGAGGGGCGGTTCCAATCGGCGAAGGTCCGGACGGGATGTTCCGCCCCGCACTCAGATTCCGGCGTCGTTTGCGCCGGCTGGCCACCGTGGCGCGGACCGGTTTCAGCAACCGGTCCAGGGTGGCCGCGCTGGCGGACAGCAGACGCTCCCTGACCTCGGGATCCAGGTCCAGGTGGCCGTGGCGTTCCATGGACTCCACCAGGTGGGGCAACGCCGCCTTCAGACGCTTGCCGCAGATGCGGTCCGATGCTTCCCACACCAGGATCACCGCCTCCCGAACTGCCTCGTCGTAGATCCGCCGGCCTTTCACCCCAGGCACGTGGTCTCCGGCGTCGCCCGATTGTCCCAGCAGGCGAATACCATGCTTCCGGTGATGGCCGGTCACGGCGATGAACTCGTCGAGGATCCGGCTCTTGTCCTTTCTGGAAGACCCCGGGTAGCGGTCTTGTATTGATGCCAGCAACTCCTGTTTCGCCATCCTGCTCATGTTTCCCGCCACGTGATCGCCTCCCGACTTTTCGGTAGCATTTTATTTGAGGCAATCACTTTCTTAAAGTAACGTTCTTATTGAGGCAATGCGCCTTCAGCTGGCCAGTCGGATCATTCCGCAGCAGCGGCTCGATCTCATCCTCCCACACCCCGTCGAAGGGGTCGGGACGGGTGCGCCACCGATGCTCCGGTTTCGCCTGCGACGGCAATGGGCCACTCTGCCACTTGCGCGCTGATCGCACGCTCATCCCAGCCTTGGCCGCTGCCGTTTCCTGTGTCTTGCCTTCCATACGTTTCTGCCTCATTAGCCTGACTTGTCGGTCCGTAATCAATCGGCACCTCCGTACCGAATGATTACCCCTTATCGACCGGCAAAAACAGTCGACGCTACCGGCAGGATTAATTGTCGTCTATCACCTGGGTGGAACGCCAGGTCTGGTAGTTAAAGCCCAGGTCTCCTGGCTCGGGCAGCAGTATGTTTTCGATGGTCTGGCCTCCTTCTGGGCTGGCGTGCCTGTTCTTCTGAATTCTTCCGGTCTGGATTGCCGTGCGGATTCCCGGTCTGGATTGTCGTGCCTGATTTCCCGTGCCTGATGGGATTGTTTCACGCCGGCTCGGTCGGGATTTTTGTCCCCTTTGGCCCTGTTTTTGCTGCCTCAGGCCGCCTTTTTGCCCTCTTCGACGGGCTGCTTTTGTCCTTCCGGGCGGGGCCAGCGGGCCCTGAGTGGAAATTCGCGGTCCGGGTCTGTGGAAAAAATGGCCGCTGAGTGGTCTGAGAGCCGCAGGACGGCCTTTGTTACCCCCGGCAGGTCTTCCAGGGCCTCTCCGGCGATAGTTTGTCGGTAAAATCGCCCTGAGGCCGTTTGGCGGGGCCGGGCCCGGCAGAAATTATCGCTTTCCCCGGGCCTGTCAGGCCCGTTGTTGGGCCTGTTTTGCCTCCGGGGTATCCCAACAGGCTTCTGGCGGATTTTTCCCGCAATTCGCCTCTCAGGCCGGGTCTTGAGGCGACGGCTTGAGGCCGGGTCTTGAGGCCCTGGCTTTCAGGCAAAAAGTCTGCCGTGGCCGGCGTGGCCCGGCGCACCCGATGGCCGCGGCGTCCAGGTCTTCGGTCAGCTCGGTGATGCGGCCCCGGATGTGGGTCGGCTCGGGCCTGGCGGCTCGGGCCTGAAACCCGGTGCTCGGGGGATCCACAGTGGGGGTCAGTGTCCCCGGATTTTCGGTCTCCGGGAGGGGGTCAAAAATCTCGACACCCCCTTATAGTAAAACGATAAATTAAAATTTACAGTTTTTTCTTGGAGTAAAATTTATATTTCTTATTTTCGTTATTTACTTATTAGTCCATATATGTATCGTATCTACACAGTCCGTTATTTTTCGTTATTTATTTTTTACTATGACCTGCCTGAGAGAGAGAGAGAGAGAGAGAGAGAAGTAGCTATAATTTATATGTGTTTAATTTCTCCTGTACATATAGGAAATCGGGAAATACTCAGATATAACGGACCAGCCTTACCCTGCCATCTAAAATTGCCGCTCAAAGCTGAGGCCTGCAATTTGTACATGGACAAAATTTGTACATATTGCAAAAATCTCTCCACATGGACCATCTAACAAAGCTGGAGAGTCTGCCAAAATTATGTACAAATGGTCAATTTGCATTCGTGCACCAGATGGCACGGGGATTTTTTGAGACCTTGCAAAGCTGCAGATGTACAACCATCTAAACGGGTTTGTCGACGTTTTGGCAATATGTACAAAATATGTCACTCCCTCGGAACACGATGTACGCTGAACTTATGTTCGGTTTTTGTATCTAAACCATCTAACGTTGTGCAAAATATGTACAAAACCTGTCATGTACAGAGTGCAAAATTTCATGTACAAATTGCATTTCGACATGCTTTAGATGGCTAAAATCGGTACTAAAATGGCCAAAAACGTACATATTTGCTCCTAAAAATTATTGTGAATTATTTTTCGTTATTAGGGCTTTTTTTCCGAAAACCGCCGGGTTTTCAGGTGTCAGGACGTATGGTTTGAATGGAAGCCCGCCAGGTGCTTTGCGAAAAGCGTAGAAGTGGCTAAAAAGTGGTCTGTGGAGAGGGTTTCTGCTGGCGCGTCTTATCGCGAAGGGCGGCGTTTCAGTCAGGCACTTTCACAGCCCCGGATCGGGCCTGTTCGCTCTTTTTCCAGGTTCCTGATCCCGCCCCTGTGCCGTTTCCTGCTCACGGACTTGCTCCTGGGGGCCTGTTCCGGAGGCTGGGTTCCTGACCCACTTCAGGGTTGTTCCGGATCCATTCGGTTCTCCCTAGCCCCTCAGCTCAGGCTTGCTGACTCATCAACGGCGCACTGCCGGCAGCGGTAAACCGGGATGTTAACTTCTATCTTCCCAGCTGGATTTTCCACGGCCGCCGCCGGTAGGAGTGGTTCTTTGCCATCGGCCTTCCGCACTCCGGGGCGTCGGGCGGTGCCCATCAATTCCCTTCGGATTCAGGACTCCAGTGTCCCTACCCTGTCCCCGCATTACCTTTGCTTCCATCCTGGCTATCAGTTCACTGGGCTCGTTTCATTGGCTCGTTCATTGGCTCGTTCACTGACTCGTTCATTGACTCGTTCATTGGCCCGTTCACTGGCTCTTTCGTTGGTTCCACTGATGTTCTCCTTCTGCCTGAAGCCGCGGGGGTAAAACTTCCCGTCGGCGCACTGACCATATCATTATTCCCATGATGCGTTTGATTGTTGTTTTCAGCTTCCTTGTTCTGCTGCTCACCGGCTGCGGGTTCCTCTCCACTGCGGTCCCGCTCGGGCCTGTCCCGCCGCCGCCGGCACTGGTTTCGCCGCCGCCCCCGCCGGTCAGCGAGTCGGAGATGCTGGCTTGTTTTTTTTTGTTATATGCCGCCGCCGGCTTCCTTTCCGACCCTTACGCCAACTCCTGCGCCGACCCCGACCCCGTCGCCGGTTTTCCTTCTCTCGTCCTCGCCTGACCTGCCGTGTTGACCTGGTTTTCCCTCCTTCCCGTCAGCCCTGCCGCCGTTGCCCGTTGTGGTTCCTGCCGCTACTCTGCTGGTGGTTACACCGGCTCCGACCACCGTCCCGGCTCCTGCCCCCACCGAAATGCCTGTTCCGGATGAGCTGCCTGGCAATGAGCTGCCTGGTGATGAGTCGCCTGGCGCCGTGCTTCTTCCTTCAGGGTTGGGTTCCCCTGCTGCCGGTACAGGGCCAGCGGGCGGACCGCCAGCCCCGTTGGCCGTGGCGGAGATCCGGGTACAGAAATCCTGTATAGAAATATCCGGTTTTAGGAATCCGGTTTAGGAGATCCGTGGCGGAAGACCCCGTGATGGGCGGCCCGGTGCTGTCCCGCACCGATCAGTTGACCCCCGATCTTTCCTGGCCGGCATATCCCGTTCCCGGCCTGGGCGAGGTTGTGGTTCCCCCGGGCTGGCCGCTGGTCCTTGCCTGGGACGGGAGCCCTGTGTTCCGCTCTCCTGACGGCCTGGCCGGCGGGAACTTTGTGGAGATCTCCCATCCTGGGGATGTCGATGTCTGGACGGTGCTGGACAGCCTGATCAGCAGGGACGGCCTGCAGTCCCAGCCTGGCTTCCAGGTATATTCCCATGGTTCCTCCGGGGACATCGGGTACGATATGGCCTGGATGGCCTTCAGCGTTGATGCGGAGGACTGCCTGCAGCAGGTCTGGTCCTACCTTTGTTTTCCCGATTACCGGTCCTGCTGTTCAAAATGCGTTTCACGTTTCATTCACTGCTCCGGACCGGGTCAGGTCCATATCAGCGACCTGCTGGAGATATCAGCGCGGTCGTTGCCCTACGAGCTGCCCTATCCGTTGCCGGAAACAACCGCCGCTTCTACCGCCAGCGGCTCTACCGCCAGCGCCGCTTCGCCTGGCGGGGAGGAAACACCTCAACCATGATGTCGTCGGGTACGTTCATGACGTCCCAGATGGCCTGTTCCACATCGTCCCATTCCAGGCCGCCCAGGCCGGCGCCCAGCGCCGGTATGGCCACTGACTGAAGTTCCCGCAGGCGCATCTGTCCACAGCAGTTTTCCGGCATCGTCTACGACGTACTCCATCCTGGAGGGTCTCCTCCAGTGTCCTTGGTGGCAGTTTTGGCCAGCCACAGCTTTCCGTCCGGTACGGCGTAGATGATTACGTTGCCGGTCTTGACCAGGCCATTTTTGCAGTCCTCGCGGTACTGTCGGTCCATATCGGGGTACCGGTTTTTGAACTGCGGGCCTGCCCTTTGCCTTGCGCCACGCATTGACCCGGTTGACCACACTGTGCTCTGAGTTTGAATATGTCCCCATGGACCTTGTTGAAAGCCGTCATCTTTGTGTCCTCTCTGAGTGCCTTTCCGGCACTTCCTGGCAGTCTGTTTTTTGCCCCTAGAAAATTGCGAAACTCTCCGTATTGCTTCTGTAGAAGTTTTACAGTTCGTTTCAGCGGTCTTGCGTGCAGCTCTGGCCGTATGGCGAAGCATGACTTCGCGGCTGGCCGGATGAGCTTTATTCCCTTGTGGGATCTGGCGGCACGCCCAGGCAGTTGGTTCAACTGTTTTCTGCCCTGGCCAGAAGGTCTAGCCCCTGGCGCCGGATGTTTTCGCCGGCGTTATCGTCGGCGTGGGCTTCAAAGCCGCATTCCCGGCAGATAAACCGGCTCTGCGACCTGCGGTTTTTGGGGTCGATAGACCCGCACTGGTGGCAGGTCAGGCTGGTGTTTTGGGAAATAAATGTATGAAAAAAAAAAAAAAAATATTATATATTTTGATTTGTAATGGTGATTTTTGATATATAATGATTGGGTAGAAATGTATGGATGCTGCCCCTCTGTGCTCTTGTGGCTCTTGGTTTTCTTGGCTGTTTGCTCTGGGGTGTGGTGATCTTTGGTGTTGCCTTTGTGCACCCCCTTCCCTTGGGCTGTTTTTTCTTGCTTGGTGGGGTGCCCCCTGTGTTGGCTGTGCGGGGCTCCTGCCCCTGTTCCGGCTTCCCCTCCTCTTGGCTTTACTATTTGGTCCCGGTCTTTCCTCCCTTCACTGCTTGCCCTTGGGCTTTTGGGGCACTTCTGTGCGTGTTCCCCCCTTGCCTCTGTTTTGTCTTTCCTCTTGTGTGCTCCTGTTCCCCTGTTCCCTTGCTTTTGGCTCTGTGTTCATCTCTCCTCTTTTTCTTCTTTCTCCCTTTCTTTCTATTCTTTTTGTCCTATCTTTTTTTCTTTTTGTTTCTTGTGGGTTTTCTTTTCTGCCCTGCCTAACTGGCCTTCTTGCTGCTTTCCTTTATTGATCTTTTGTTGGTGTGTTCTCTTGCTCTTTCCCCTCCCCTGTGTCCTTCTATTCCCCTGGGCTTTTTTTCTACCTTGGTGCTTTTTTGCTGTGTCCTTTTCTTCTTTTTTGTTTACTTCTTGTCGTTCCTCATTCTTAACTCTTTCTCTTTCTTTCTGTCCCTGTTTCTCATTTCTTTTGTTACTCCCATCCTTACTTTATTTCTTCGTCCTTCCTCCTTCCACTTCTTCTTTTCCCATTTTCCACGAGAACATTCGGATCGATAAAGAAGCAGGTCTCTGTCTTGCCAGGGGCACTTGTATTCCAGTTGGGAGCGTATTCTGCCCCAGTTCTGGGCGCAGGATGGCCCGGTTGAAGCTGGCCTTCAGGCGTACATTGGATCCTGGCTGTTCGGCAGTCCCCTTAGCGGACCGGGTTATCTCCTTGATTTTGGTGTCCTCGATGCAGATAACCTGGTGGTCCCTGACCAGTTGGGTGGTTATGCGGTGCTGGAGTCCGGACAGCGCTTCCTGGCGTTTTTGCTCTACTCGTCGGAGCATGGCCTGGTTGCGCAGGTAGGATTTGGATGGCCCGTCGGTCCAGCGGAAGCGGCGTTTGACGGTGCCGTTGTTATTCTTCTGAGATACGAACCGGGCCCGTCCGTCCCTCAGGGCGGCGTCCCGCTGCCTTTGGGCCTTCCGTTGCATCCGCTTCTTGGCCTTGCGGTGTTGGGAGTCGTTTATTCCCGGGATCCGGAGGACCCGACCCTTTTCGTCCACGGCGGTCAGCATGTTTCTGACCCCGGGGTCAATGCCGACCGATTGGTTGGGAGGTTCGATGTAGGGGGGTTTCTCTGTGTTGAAGACGAGGCATGCGTTGAGCCTTCTGGGAGTTCGGGTAATGAGGATCACCCTGGGCTGTTGGTCCAAGGGCAATCTGCCGTCGGTTTTCAGCCTGAGGCGGGGCAGTCCCTTGATATGTACGAAAGCAGACTTCCCGTCCTTGGAGAATTTCAGGTGTCTGTTGGCGGGTTCGGAGATTTCCAGGGTATTGAACCGGTACGGGCTTTTGGTCCTGGGATGGCCGGTGCCCGGCAGGTTGAAGAACCGGCTGTAGGCAGTGTTGGCCCGTTTGACGGTGGACTCCAGCAGTCTGCGGGCGTATGGGTGGAATTCAGGCTGGTTTTGGCGCAGGTCGGTGGTATGGGCGTTCTGGGTTTTAAGCGACCATTGTCCGCGGTGCAGGCCGGTGGCGGCCTCGCGGTGCTGGATGGTGGCGTTATACAGCTGGCCCATAAGCAGGAGGCACGGTTCGATCTGGCGGTATCCGCCCTTGGTGGTGGCTACCTTGTACCGTAGGGTCTTGGCAATGAGTTCGGGCTGGTCGTTCATACCGTTGTCCTCTGCTGGAGGGAGGTTACATGTTCCGTTTATTCTCTGCTTTTGACAGTTTCGCAATTTTCTCTCTGCTCCGGCGCGGGCCGGTTTTTGCCCCGGGAATAAAGTTTCCCGGGGCGTCGGATAGGGGGTACGTTAGGGGGCCGGAAAATTTGTATCTGAGAGGGCCGTTTTCGTGTGCTCCTGATTTCCGGGGTTTTTCCGTATCTGTGCAGATACGAAAACAGGGAATTAGAACATTTGTATACTAAACTGCAGGGTTCCGTATGGTAGGTCAGCTTTAATTGTGTGCTCCTTGCTTTCTGCCGGTTCTGCCCTGGGGGACTCGGGGGGGTATTAGTATCTAATAATAGATACAAAATAAAGCAAAGCTTGTGCTCCTGATTTTCGGTGCCGTTCGGCCCTGTTTTCGGGGGGATAAAGTTGGGGTCACATCTGGTTTTTACCTGATGCAATTAGAATAAATTCCAGGGTTGGGGTTACGGCCCTTTTTGCGGAGTTATTGCTCCATTGCGGAGTTATTGCTCTATTGCGGAGGTATTGAAGGCGGTTTTTCTAATGGCATTGGGTGGCAGCAGGATAGCGGCATACAGCGGCGGGGAACTGGGGGTGCGTTGCTTCAGTGATGGTTGCGGCAACGGGGCTACTGCGGGATACGCCCAGGATACGGGTCTTCCGGGGTGTGTGGAGTGTGCATCGGGGTCTGATGTATGTCTACCGGGCCGGTCGGAGCGGTTCTGGCCGTTGCCTGAGGCCTACGCAACGGGCAGGGCGTACCATGCTGTACTGGACGGCAGGGAGCCGACGGGGGAGTTATGGTTGCACCAGGGGAAGGGATTGGAGGTGGTGGTTGGTGGGGAGAACCTGGTGGTGGCGACGGGCACGGCCTCGGGCAAGAGCCTGATTTTCCAGTTGGCGGCGCTGTCGTTGCTGGAGGGAAGCAGTGATGCGCGGGTGGCGGTATTCTACCCTACCAAGGCGTTGGCGCAGGATCAGTTGCGGCGTTGGCGCCGTGCGCTGGAGGCGATGGGTTTACCGGCGGGGCTGGCTGCGATCATAGACGGTGATGTGGCGCCGCGGGACCGGAGCCGGTTATTGCGGGGCACCCGGATAGTGTTATTGACGCCGGACGTTTGTCATGCGTGGTTGATGCGGACCTGTGGGGAGTCGGCGCAGCGGGCGTTTCTGCGGGGATTGCGTCTGGTGGTACTGGACGAGGCGCACGTATACGAGGGGGTATTTGGGAGCAACTCCGCCTATTTATTCCGGCGGTTGCTGAGCCTGGCGGGTTTGTTGTCGGGTGGTAAGATGCCGCAGGTGGTGGCGGCTACGGCGACGATACTGGACCCGTCGGGCCATCTGGAGCGGCTATGCGGTTTGGATTTCCGTTCGGTTGAGGAGGAGGACGATGGGGCGCCTCGTTACGACCGCCGGGTATATCATCTATCGCCGAGCGGGTTCAGGGGCATTCGCAATCCTGACGGGATAGCGGAGCTGTCGTTATCGATAGTGGACGGAGATCCTGGTTCGAGGCTGATAGTATTTCATGATTCGCGTCAGGGGATTGAGCGGGTGGTGCAGTCGGCGGGGCGTCCGGGCCGGGTGGTGCCGTACCGTGCCGGTTATCTATCGGAGGACCGGCGCCGGGTGGAGCGGTCTTTATTCAGCGGTTCGCTGGATGTGGTGGTATCGACATCGGCGCTTGAGTTGGGGATAGACATACCTGACCTGAACTGGGGGGTGAATGTGGGGTTGCCGGGCAGCCGGAAATCGCTGAAGCAGCGACTGGGCCGGGTGGGGCGGAGCGGGCCGGCTCACTTTGTGATCTACGCTGAGGAGGACGCATTTTCGTCCCACGGGGACACTCTGGAGGGGTATCTGTCGGGTTTGGTGGAGCCTTCGCATCTTTACCTGGACAACGAGTCCATACGGAGTCGCCACGGCGAGTGTCTGCGGCGCGAGTTGCGTTGTCTGGGTTTGCCTGGCGGGAAGGGGGGTGAGCTGCCGGGGCTGGTTTCCTGGCCTGGCGGATTTGAGCGGGAGTTCCTGGAGGGTTCGTTTGATGGTTTTCCGCACTGGAGCGGGGGTTTACGCAGTGCCGGGGGTGAGGATCTGTCCCTGTGGTTGGAGGGTGAGGGGGAGAGCATCGGCAATATTGGGGTGCACCAGGGGATTCAGGAGGCATATCCGGGCGCGGTATACCGGCATAGGGGGCAGAGCTACGATGTATCGGGTTGGGGCCGGATGATCAAGACGGGTGAGGCGCTGGTTCTGCTGAAGGGCGAGGCGGTGGACGAGGACCTGGTGACTCGGCCGAGGAAGCGTCGGATGGTGATGCCGTTGGTTGAGTCCGTTTTGAAGCGCCGCAAGATTGGCTTGGGTTATGTTGAGCTGGTTCGATGTTTCCTGCAGGACTCGGTGGAGGGTTACGAGGTAGACCGGAATCCTGATGTTTTCTGGTACGGACGGAAGGAGGACGGCGGTTGCGGGTTGGAGCGGGTGCATACTGGTTATGAGACGACGGGTCTGCACCTTTGCTTTGGCAGTGGCGATTTTGAGGGTGAGGGAGGTCTGGGTTGGCATTACCGTGACCGGTTGGGGGACGGGCTG